TACTTCCTGCTGGTTGTCGACGACTACACGCGCTACACCACGGTCTTCCCCTTGCAGCGCAAGGGGGGTGTCCCTGATGTTTTGATCCCCTGGATCCGCGCTACTCGTCTCCAGCTCCGCGAGCGGTTCCAGTCGGACTTTCCTGTCCTGCGTCTGCACTCTGACAGAGGTGGTGAGTTCTCCTCAGACCTCTTGGCAGCCTTCTGTGCGGAGCACGGCATCCGCCAGACTTTCACGCTTCTGGCCTCTCCGCAGCATAATGGGGTTGCTGAGCGCCGCATTGGCTTAGTCATGGAGGTCGCTCGTACCTCCATGATTCATGCGGCTGCCCCCCATTTTCTGTGGCCGTTTGCGGTCCGGTACGCCGCGCATCAGCTCAACCTTTGGCCCCGTGTCTCCTTGCCGGAGACCTCGCCCACACTGCTGTGGACGGGGAAGGTTGGCGACGCGTCGCGTTTCCGGGTCTAGGGTGCTCGTGCCTTTGTCCGCGATACCACCGCGGACAAGCTCTCCCCTCGCGCCATTCCTTGCGTCTTCCTTGGCTTTGTCCCTGACGCGCCTGGCTGGCAGTTTTACGACCCCGCCTCGCGCCGTGTCTTTGCGTCTCAGGACGTCACCTTTGACGAGTCCGTCCCCTTTTACCGCCTCTTCCCCTACCGCACTGCTCCTCGCCCCCCCCCGCCGCTCTTTCTCGCCCCAGGTCCTCCCCAGGTAGACCCCCTCCCCGCGCCAGGTCCTGCTCCTTCAGGTGTCTCTCAGGTAGACCCCCCTGCGCCTGCGCCTGTTGAGGTCACTGGTGACTCCGGTCCTGCTGCGAGTGGTGCTGTCCCTGGGGGTGCGGAGCTTGGGGGTGCTGAGTCTGGGGGCGCTGAGCGTGTGGAGCCTGGAGGTGCTGAGCCTGCGCGTGAGGAGCCTAGAGGTGCTGCGTCTCGGGGTACTGCGTCTGGAGGTGCTGCGTCTGGGGGTGCTGAGCCTGTGTGTGTGGAGCCTGGGGGTGCTGAGTCTAGGGGTGAGTTGCCTGAGGGTTCTGAGACTGCTATTACGCGGTCTCCTTGGAGTAGCCGTCTTCGTCCGCGTGTGCCCTTCACCTCCCAGCAGCTGCACGACTGGTACGGTCGCCGTCGGCGTCCCACTTCTGCACCTCAGGGCTCTCCTGCTGGAGGTTCTTCTGCTGGTGTCGCTGGTCCCGGAGGTGCTCGTACTGGGAGTACTGGAGCTGCTGGGGCTAGTGGTGGTGCTGCTGGAGGTACTGGAGCTACTGGCGGTGCTGGAGCTGCTGAGGGTACTGGAGCTGCTGGAGGTGCTGGAGGTGCTGGAGCTGCTGGAGGTGCTGGAGCTGCTGGAGGTGCTGGAGCTGCTGGTGGGGCTGGTGCTGCTCGTGCTGGTGGCACTGCTCAGCCACGCCTGTTCTTTGCTCCGCCGTCTCCGTCGTCTCAGCCACCACCTGACTCTGCACTTCGCCAGGTTCTCAGTCTTCCCTCGTCTACTGGTCTTCCGTTACAGCCTGGCTCCCCGCTGCCTGCTCCTTCTCTATACAGAGAGCAGCCTGGTGGCCTTGCAGAGCGTCGTGAGCCTGCGTCGCGTCCTGTCTCCCCTGTCAGTTCCGGTCGTCGTGTTCCTCGTCAGAGCCAGCCGGCTGTCTCCGGCCCTCCCCTTGTAGTTCGTTGTCCTTCCTCTCCTTCACTGCGTGTTCCTCTGCCGCCTCCCCCTGCGTCCTCTCTGCCTGTCGTTGCTGACCCTGCGTCTGACCGGTTTCGTGCTGAGCACTCTACTGTCACGCGTCTGCTTGCCACTGTTGTCACTGACCCGTCGTTTGAGTCTGCTGCTGCGTCTGCCTTAGTCACTGAGCTTGTTGCCTTTGCTGCTCACTGTCGTCTAGACTACGCCGCCAGTCTTGTTGCTGAGTCTGCGTCTGTCTGTCCTCCGTCCGTCGGGGGTGAGTGTGCTCTTGGCACGGACATCCTTGAGGACAGGCAGGAGGACCTTGAGTGTCTTGCAGCCGCTGCGCCTCATCTCGTATCCATGCTGCTTGCCCCTGAGGGAGACCCGGATGCACCAGACATCCCTACCCCGCGCTCTTACGCTGAGGCGATCGCGGGTGAGTACTCCTCTCAGTGGCAGACAGCCATGGACGCAGAGATGGCATCCTGGAAGTCCACAGGCACCTACGTCGACGAGGTTCCCCCTCCTGGGGCGAACATTGTCAGTGGCATGTGGATTTTCAGGGTGAAGCGGCCGCCAGGTTCTCCGCCTGTCTTCAAGGCTCGTTACGTGGCTCGAGGCTTCAGTCAGCGAGAGGGAGTTTACTTCTTCCAGACCTTCTCCCCCACCCCAAAGATGACCACTCTTCGGGTGCTGCTGCACGTTGCCGCTCAGCGTGACTACGAGCTTCACTCTCTTGACTTCAGCACAGCCTTCTTACAGGGCAGCCTGCACGAGGAGATTTGGTTGCGCCGCCCTCCTGGCTTCACTGGGTAGTTCCCTCCTGGTACCCAGTGGAGCCTCCGGCGGCCGGTCTACGGTCTCCGCCAGGCGCCACGTGAGTGGCACGACACACTGAGGACGACACTTGCGGCTCTTGGGTTTGCTCCGTCGACTGCTGACCCGTCGCTGTTTTTGCGCACCGACACTTCGCTGCCGCCGCTCTACGTTCTCGTGTACGTTGACGACTTGGTCTTTGCCACTGCTGACACTGAGGCTCTCGCCCTGGTGAAGTCGGAGCTGCAGAAGAGACACACGTGCACAGACCTGGGTGAACTGCGCAGCTACCTTGGCTTGCAGATCACCCGGGACAGAGCACGCCGCACCATCACACTGACTCAGTCACACATGGTGCAGCAGGTCCTTCAGCGCTTCGGTTTCACCTGGTCCTCAGCACAGGCCACTCCTCTGGCTACAGGTCACTCGCTCTCAGCTCCACCTTCGGACGAGTCCGTAGAGCCGAGTGGTCCATACCCAGAGTTAGTGGGCTGCCTCATGTACCTGATGACTTGCACTCGTCCTGACCTTCCGTACCCTCTTGGCCTTCTGGCTCGCTACGTGGCTCCTGGTCGGCACCGAAAGGTGCACATGGATGCTGCCAAGAAGGTACTACGCTACTTGTGCAGTACATCAGGCATGGGGCTCGTGCGTGGAGGACGGGGTGACGTTGTCCTCACAGGTCACTCAGACGCCTCTTGGGTTGACGACCAGGCTACGCAGCGGTCGTCACAGGGTTACACCTTCAGCCTTGGTTCTGGTTCAGTTTCCTGGCGTTCTACACGTTCGTCTTCAGTTCTCGGCTCCAGCTGTGAGGCAGAGATCTACGCCACAGCCATGGCTGCACAGGAGCTGCGCTGGCTCACCTACCTGCTGACCGACTTGGGAGAGCGGCCTCGTTCTCCTCCAGTTCTGTACGTCGACAACAAGGCCGCCATTGCCTTGTGTCAGGAGCACAGACTGGAGCACAGAACAAAGCACATTGCTCTCCGTTACTTTCTTGCTCGAGAGCTGCAGCAGCGTGGCCAGCTTCGTCTTACCAACGTGGCCACTCGGGCCAACACTGCTGATATATTCACCAAGGCACTTCCGCCTGGTGATCATCAGCGTTTCTGCACTTTGTTAGGCCTTGTGCCCACGCTTCCTCACTTGCTGTAGGCTTTGTTTGTACCATGATTTATATGTATTCCTGCATGCTTGTTCTAGGTAGATATCACTGTACTGTTGTTGTTACATATATATCTCTGCATGTGAACTGGCCTTGTGGCCTTCTTGCTTGTGCTCAGACTGCGTGGTGACGTTGTGATCCACCCTGAGCTTGCTTTGCACTTCCTGACTGGTCTTGTGACCCTCTGTTCTCCCCCACTCTGCCTATGGGGGTGTGTCAAACATATGTATATATATGTTATAGTTTGGGTAGGCTTAGTGGGGTACACACTGTGGGGTACAACCCCTTAGGTTTCTTCTTTGTACAAACCCTCTCGATAGTCGACATCACTTGTTGCCTACGATTCTAACATAGCCTACAAGTAGGATTGTACTTCGACACATTGTTCTACTTTGACATTGATTTCACTCGTTCTTGCTGCAGGCAATCAAGGGGGGCGTGTCAGGGTAATCTATTATTATATAACTGCCAACAGCAGACATAGTGTAGTTCTTTGCTGGTGCTGCACCTTGCCTTACCTTGCCTTGCTTGTATTTCTCGCTGCTCTTCCAAGTCCAAACCCCTTCTCGTTACTACGGTACCTCCGTTGAGCTCCTTTATCCTATTTAGCTTCTTGAGGGGGGTACAGTACGTAGAAAAGCGCAGCCAAGAAGGTAATACGGTACCGCCGTACCGGTATTGCAACACTAAACTCAAAGCAAAGAGCAGGGGCAGTGCATTTTGGGGGTATAACTATGGGCTACACGGGCTTTAAACCACGTGAGTGCACCTGGGCGAACCGGTAAGTCAAGACGATGAAGGAGCATGGCGTAAAAGGCAGCATGGCCAACTGAGGAGCATGGGCGGTGCGAATATAAAATGCACCCAAGTATTGCTCACTAAATCCAATGCACGGAGACCACCTCGTGCCAAACCGTCAACCTGTCATCCTACTTGCACCCATAAACGCGTGTTGCGGCGCCTCATAACGAAAACAACAAAGGCAGGGTTTTCTTCACAAAGCTTGGCCTAGAGTAGACTAGTCTGGCAAAAGGGCATGCGAAGCTGAGAGATTGCGCAAAAGGGCTGCGCCTCAGCTGAGGGGCTGCCAGGCCTAGCACTTAAGAACAGGCAAGCTACAGTGTATAATCAGGAAAAAAAGGGGTCTCCAATCAAGGTCCTTATCACACAGAGGTCCCCACAATGCAGGAGGAGAAGAACCTCTCACCGACCGAGGTGTTCCCCAGAAAGCAGATTGTCGCAACTCATGGCCGTTGCCAAGAGGTTCTCCGCAGGAGCTGATTCCATCACAGTCGGTCAAACCAAGTCAACCAAGTCAATCAAGCCAACAAAGTCAACCGAGTCAACCCAAAAGTCACTCATCGGAGGCGAAAGCATCCACCAGGTTCTCCCCCAGCGCCCTCACCACCCCCTCCACACTCCCCAACGCCCGCACACCCCTACCCACCGCACTCCGCATCACCGCGTCCAACTCCCCTCCATCCCTCCCCACCGCATACTGCACCAGAGCAGCCTGCAGGGTATTCTGAGGGGGAAGGGCCCCCAGGGGAATGCCAAAGACGCGCACTCGTTCTATGCAGAACCGGGGGGGAGGGGGAGGTGCGTTCTGGGGGAGGATGTATGCGGGGCGGTGGGGGCTGGTGGAGGCGGTTTGGGCGAGGAGGTAGGCGGGGAGGGACGGGGAAGAGAGAGAGGGGGAAGAGGGGCGAGAGGGGGAGGAGGATGAGAGGGAGCGGAGAGGGGAGGTTGAACGCGAGGGGATGGGGGAGTGGGAGGGGAGGGTGAGGGAGGAGGTAGAGTCTAGGCTGCTGATGCTGTTGGTGCTGCTGCTGTTGTGTATAGGACCCAGTCCTGTGGTGGTGTGAGGGGGGCTGAAGCAGCAGCTACCGCCACTGCCACTGCTACTGCCGCTGCTGGTACTTCCACTACAAGCCTTACACGGACTGTCTATAAGCCTCGCACTCCTGTTGCCACTGCTGCTAACGCCGCTGCTGCTACTGCTGCTGCTGCTACTGCAGGAGAGGGTTCTGTGTATGCGTCTTGCCAGTCGCCCACGAGCCTGCCTCATGAGGGCTCTCCACTCGCACTCCACCCCCCCCCACATGCACCCCTCCCCACCACCATCACCATCACCATCATCATCACCATCATTGGTTCTCTTACTGTCGCTCCCACCACTGTCCACCCCCCAGCCACTCTCACTCCCTCCCTCCTCCTCTTCTTTCCCTGTTCTCTTCTCTCTCCCCCATCCCTCCCTCTTCTCACGAGCTCCACTGATGCCGCCACGACTGCAGGTAACTTCACATGTACCTTCCCCCTCGCCACTCTTCCCCCTCCCCTTACTCCCCCTTCCGGCACCCCCTTCCCCCCAGCCCCTTTCATAGCCCTCCCCTTCGCCGTTCCCCCACATGATCCCTCCGCCTTCCGCCCAGCCTCTCCCCCAGGGGGAGCCTGAGAGCAGCAGGCGCACATGGTTGCCCAGGGCGAGCGCGGAGGGGGGGAGGCGGAGCAGGTGGGAGATGGGGGCGGGGGGCAGGGGGAAGGAGGCGGAGGAGAAGGGGAAGGCGGAGGGGGAGAACCCCACTTGGACCTGAGAAAGGGGGGGCATGGGGGAAATCGGTGGGGGAGGGGAAGAGGGTGGGGGGAGATTGGAGGAGAAGGGGCTAACTTGAAAGCAGGCGAATGGGGCCATACGGGCAACAACGCTTAGATTGAAAGACGAGGGGGTTGGGAGTGGGCGGGAGTGGAGGGGGAAGGGGGAAGGGAGGGGAAGGGGGGAGGCGTTTGAATCAGCGCGAGGGGAGTATTTACAGCTGAAGATGGCGGAAAAGAGGGAAGGTTGTGGGTTGATGGTGGTGTGGCTAGGTGGGTTTCTTGGGAACTTGTGTGCGGGGAGGTGGCAAGGGCTGTGTGGTGGTGTGAGGGGAGGCCTGTGCAATGAGGGGGGGACAGGGCAGTGCGAGCGAGCAACGGTCACCTGGAGAAAGTTGGGGCAGACAGCATTCCAAATATCCTGCCCGGAAACAATTTCCACCCCCGTGATGAGACAGAGGGGCAGGTCCAGGCGGAAGGTGAGCGACTCCCGCGCCTCCTGCAGCTGGGGGAAGGGCTGCGCATGGGGGGAAGGGGATCGGGGGGCGGAAAGGGGAAAGGGAGAAGGGGGATTGGGGATGCAGGAAAGAAAGGGAGGGAAACGGGGTAAATGCGGGGACTAGGTGAGGGTATCGGAGTTGGAAAAGAGATTGCAAGGGATGGGAGTTGGAGAGAAGGAAGAAATAAGGGATGTGGCGGAAGGAAGAGCAGTAAGAGGGCTGCAGGGGAGAGATTGCAATCATACTCACCACCTCAAGCATGTCTCTTCTGCACTCACCTAGACAAACCAGACTCTACCACACCTGACTAAACCGCATCCCATTGCAATCGGCTCAACCGCATCCGACCGCACCTGGCTGAACCAGAAGAAGTCGTCTCGGAGAGTCCACTCGGCGCCCCACCCCTCCTCCTCGCTCGAGCTCCCCACGGCCTGCAGAGGAAGCTGCGGAGGAACCTTCCACTCGCGATCCAGCTCCACCAGCCCGCGGTAGACCTCCTTCCAGGAACCTTCTGGGACAATCAGGGGAAGGTGGCTGTGCCTGTGCTGCCCTTGCTCCTCTCCGTGCCTCATGCCGAGTCGTGGCAAGACCAAATCCTTTCCATGACAACAACCACTACCGCTAGTAGTATTATTGGTGTTACGGGCGCAGGAACATATGTTTTTTTTAGCATCCGTGCGGAGGTGGTGCCTGCAGTGGCGCCGTACGCGATTGTAGCTGTTCTGCGGGAAGCCAGAAATCAGGTGGTGCAGCGCGGGGGAGGACCGACCGGGGGAGGCAGATCCGGGCGAGGGCGCAACTGGCGAAGCCAATAACACCGGGGAGAACGGCAGCAACGGCGCGGCGCTGCTAGCAAAGCAAACACCAGCATCTGCGCAAACCCGTTGCGCTTCACTCTCGTTCGCCCCCCGCTGTTTCGCAGTGTGCGGTGGCGGTTGCGGTGTATCGGGGGAGGCCCATTGCGCTGCTGATGCTGCCTTTGAGGAGTGTGACTTTAGCGGGAGTGCGGACTTCGCGGCGGTTGCGGGGAGCGATAGCACCTGCGCCACTTTTTCCGACCAGAGCGTATCGGAAGCTGGGTGCATAAAGGCAGGTGCGGAGAGATGCGGGGAAACAGATATGCGCAAAACCAAAGCGCGCGGAGAGAAATGCCGGCGCGCGGAAAAGAGCGCGGGCGTCCAGCGAGAGGTATTGGGGAGGGGGGGCGGAGAAGGGGTGGGGTGGGAACGGCAATACAAGCGCGTAGAAGCGCAGAGGGGGCGTGATCGAGAGAGAATGCACTCAAGAAAGACGCGGACGAGACAGGGTGTTTTTGAGAGTTCTTACCAAATCAGCAACCAAACAGAAGGCACGCAGCAAAACATCAAACATAGACGATCGATCGTTGTATACCTGCTAGACTGCGCCACCGTCGCGATACCGCCGCGGCTCGGCAAAGACAGCGAGGCGGGAGGCAGCGAAGCACCTCGACAGCCACGTCATCGTAGTCCCAGAGCTCCGCGAGGGGCAGCGAGGCATCCGGAAGCGCGTGTGATTCCTCCATTCCGGAAAGGAGTTGCAGTTAACGAGAGGAATGGCAGAGGATGAAGAATTGCATGCGAGTCGTGTTTGACTATGGTTGCGGAAACTACTCGCGCGTACATAGGACGTTGTCGTGTAACGCTGGCTATAAATCTCGATGAGAATTGACAGAAATGCCGATTACGGTATGGAGCCTGAAGCGTAGACGGAAGATTAGGCGAGCACATATGTATGTGCGGACGGGACGGGACGGGACGGGACGGGACGGGAGGGGACGGGATTGTCGTTGAGAGATGGCACGAAAAAGCGTGACTGCTTGTCCTAGCAAACCAAATGGCGGAAATTTCGAGATTTGCGCCTGTCCTGGGGTGGGTGAGGGCTTGGGGCTCTCATTCAAAAATGACGAGCTGTAGGAGGGTGGTGCCGAAAACAGGTGGGTTGGAGGGAGGGGAGGGGAGGGGACAGGTGCGCTTGTCAGATGTCACGACGGGCGCATCTAGACTAGTTTTGCCCCCCGCGAACTGTACTCACTACTATTCCGCCCCACTTTTTACCTCAATCTCTTCCAACCACCCCTTACCCTTCTCCGCCCTTCGCATTCAGGTCCGCATGTTTTCGCCCCCTCACCACCAGTCTAGCCCTTGAAGGTGATTGGAGGAGGCTGGCGCCTGTGCGGTTCGTAATGGAGGGCGGCGGCACCTGTGCGATTCGGAACGGGGGCTGCTGCAACAATGTGCGCCACGAAAAGGGCGGCGTAACGAATCGGGGGGCGCTGGACACACAGATCTGACCGTCCAGCTGTCCGAGCATTTACAGTTTTCTTCCTCATCACTCCGATCTAGACACGGACCCTGGGTGTTACTAGACAGGTGACGTGGTGCTGATACAGCACTGCGTAAGCAGTACACCGCTTTTAAGTATGGTGCTATCTCATCAGTTGCGTTTTCAATAAGGCACCCCATTAATGCATCTTTGATTAACCCATAGAATTGGTAAAAATGCCATCTCATATAAGACATTTTCCATGTGTATTATATTATTTGTGTACCCATAATCTGGTTGACAAATGTTGAGGACATAAGATGGACCTGGGACATAATGCGTATAAAAAAAACTATCATAAAGTAGAAAAACTGCTTCCCAACTTCCTCAGCTTGTACAACTGCTGTGACATGCATTGTTTTGTTTTCTGATATCCCTTATGTTTCTGTAACCAGCAACAAATGCTGAAGCTTGCACTGTCGTAATATACTAACGGAAAGGTGCACACCGACAAATTTTGATATCTGCTCTGAAGATCCACCTGTACAGCATCAGTCGGGCGCAGGTGTTCTCAGTTTCCAAATCTCAGCGCAACGCACATCAAGCGACAACGTCATCGGTGATCACCCATCTGCGACCTGCTGGACAACAGCTGCCCAACGAGACTTCATGCGAGTGTCATAGAAGGTCGTAGGAAAAATCCAAAAATTGTCGTTAATGTCACCTCCCTCGCATGTACTGCATAATCCAGTCGCACAGCCACCCTTCAAACAATGGTTCATGTGTCACATGTTGGAAAAATCGCCTGGTAATAAACATATCCACCACCCCCCTCAACACAACCGCTGGTCTCCACCTAGCTAGCAGTCCTAGCAAGCCTAACCAACACTAAGAGGACAACTCTTTTCCTGAAGCATGGCGGCGTGTAGGGAGGTGAAGCAGGTAGCCTCTTGTGCCCCGAGCAGACACTTGGAGCTGACTGTCACATTCTTCGCAATCGTTTTAGACTTATGAACTCATATATTGCAGGCCTTTTTTGCTCTCTCAGGGGTACAATCCCAGATAGGACCACTTGCATGAATGAATAGAGTCACCATGAGAACCCGTAGTGCCGTTTTCTCGTGCGTTCTCCTCGCGCTTCTCCTCTCTGCACACTATGTCGAAGCCTCTCACAGTCGCAAGCTCCTAGCCTCCAGCGAGAACCCAGACTACTCAGACCTGTTTGACTACCTTGATTCGCAGAAAGAGCAGAGCGGCAGTTCGACGAACGCCGGAGAGCCAAGCGACCTCCCCAACGCCGCGGCGCAGCAGGCGCTGCTCGCGATGAAGGCGGCTTGGGGAGGCGACTTCTTCGGCGCGGATACATGGGTCAGCAGCAGCAGCGGCGCCCCTGCTCCATCGCCCGAGGCTAGTCCTCCATCCGAGGCTAGTCCATCCAAGGCTAGTCCATCCGAGGCTAGTCCATCCGAGGCTAGTCCATCCGAGGCGAGTCCATCCGAGGCGAGTCCATCCGAGGCTAGTCCATCCAAGGCTAGTCCATCCACAGCTAGTCCATCCGAACCTAACTCATCACAGCCAGTGGGCAAGAGCATGGGTGTAGGCGAGCTTGGTATGGGGTTTGGCAACATGGGCATGGGTAGCGGAGGGCTGGGACCTGGCGACTTATGGCGGGGTGTTGGTATTGACAGTAACGGGGATGTGGTGTCGCTGGAGCTGCCAGAAAGCGGTGTGAGCGGGCCGCTTCCGTTGGAGCTGTCGCAGCTGACGTTGCTCACCACTCTTGATCTCGGAGGGAATAACTTAAGCGGGTCGGTACCAGCTGGAGTGTTCGCCAGCCTCCCACTACTTACCGAGATTCTTCTTAACGGAAACAGCTTGGAGGGGAACTTTCCTTGGAATGAGATTTTAACGCAGGCCAATTCCCCGTTGATACTTTTGCGGTTGGACGACAACAGTTTTGTGGGGGAAATTCCCGACAACACTTTCGAGAACGCCACGCAGCTAAACTCTCTTACGCTTTGTGGGAACAAGTTCACCGGCCCCATCCCGTCAAGCCTGGGCAGCGCTTCGGAAATCTCGGTCATCGATCTCTCCAGAAATTGGTTCACGGGATCTGTCCCTTCAACTCTGGCAGATAAACTCGCGCTCGAGGTTCTCACGCTTAGCCACAACCGACTTTCGGGGGAGATTCCGGAATTTATTGGGAAGCTGCCCGCTATTGTAAACCTCGACTTGAGCCACAACTGGTTCATCGGTCACGTGCCAGCATCGTTCTCTTCGTTCGGGCAGTCGCTGCGGGGTTTGCAGCTGTCGTATAACGCGTTGACAGGGCCTTTGCCGCGGTTCACCGGGCTCGGAAAGGAATGCGAAAACCCCGAGGTGGACAGCGTTTCGTGTTACCGCTTCGAGGTTTTTATCGATCTGAGCGCGAACTACTTCGAAGGGAGAGCGGACATGGCCATGCAGATGCCCGGATCCGAAAGGTTTCCAAAACCCTCTTGGGTCTGCCCGTCCAAGGACTACACGGAACAGATTTCAGTTTCGGGTAACTGTTTGGTTTCTTCGCCAGGGTGCAAAGCGGTGGACCAGCGGAAGGAGGAAACATGCGCGAACTTCTGCGGGACAGGCAGCAAAGAGGGGCAGTGTGGAGGCGCAGGTGTTTGCATCTACGACCCGGCTACCGTCGGACCGCATGCAGTGATCACGTGTTCTTGTAACCCTGGTTACCAGGTGGATCCAAAAGATCCACAAAACTGTATCAAAGCCTAGTCAGTCTGTTGGGGTGACTTACCCACATCAATCTGGATACCTTCCCATCTCCCACCTTCCTCCCTTGTCCCTTCATCTACGGTACTTCTGATTTAATAGTTGGTGCTTACCTGAGAGGCGATGCGTGTACATGGAAGGATAAGTTGCATTTGACTCTCTGGGGCTGTCCAGCTGTTGATTTATGACCCTGAAAACTACTGGTGGGAGAGCTGTGTGCTCTGCTGCTTGCACCAGGTCCTTGTATCGTAGTACACCTCCTGCTGTTGTGTCAAATGTGAGGCTGTTTCTTTATGAAGTTGCTGTATTACGGTAGTAGCAGCCTTTTCTGGTTCGGTATGTACGGTACCACACTGATACTGCTGACTGGTGTTTTGCTACATGAGTGCAGTGCATCCTGTTCCATACCAGTACTTCACATCACACGGCGCCCGTTTTTAACCAGTAGCAGCAGAAGAATCCTCTGCTCTGCATAAAATTGCGCTGCAGCAGCGTTCTCAAATGGAACCAGCACCAGGGTAGA